GCTCATGCTGAGGCCTACCACGTGGATCTTATGTATGGGGCTTATGCATGGGAGTTGAGCCAACAGAACCAGGTGTGGCCACTTACCAATGTAAGTGATCCATGGAGAGTGGGATGTGTGTATAGAGTGGGGAGGTTCGACACAGAGCCATTACAGAGCATTAGACCGTGCGGTCCTGTAGGACATCACCTGACCTCGTCTGACCTCAGTGAAGGAAAGAAAAACCTCTTTAATCTTTCTTTCATCCGTCCGTCCCTTTTCATTTTTTTACCGCTTAGCTGTGGAGTTTATTTCAAATTTTAAACTCTTCCAGCATTCATGTTTTCATGCTTATTTCCCATACTTAACCTCTCATTTTACCATCCAAGCTGACCAGCAACATATGTTTACCCTCGGGCTACATTCTTTTGCTCCTGCCATAACAAATAGGTTTCCTCTTTGTTCTAATGATTGCACCTATATCATTGCTCAAGGACGACGAAATGTAGTGAACAAAACAAGCAAAACAAAAAAAACCCTCATCAATTACATTCATCAGGTGGCAGCTGGCATGGGGAAAATGTGATTCCCTGCACAGTTTATCCAATGCATTGTGAGCTTGCGGTGCGTGAGTGCATCTGGGAGAGAGATACAGCTATTTTTATTGTAGTTCCACTGTAATGCGACTCACTGTCAGAGCCAGAGTGGCAGCCTGAATTGCTTCTGTCGGATAAACACTCCCAGCATGCACTGCTTTGCCTCAGTCTGCGCAATGCTGCATTGGCAGCCTCCTGGCAGGATTTTGAGGTGTCTCGGTTTAGAAGTAGCTTTGTGTGTGTGTGTGTGTGTGTGTGTGTGTGTGTGTGTGTGTGCGTGTGTGTGTGTGTGTGTGTGTGTGTGGAATGATGATCCTTACAAGAGCAGAAAATGCTTAAGTCTGCACCAAGACTGATGCTTGGTACCTGAACCAGACTGAATGAAATGGCACATACCTATACTAGTTACACATTCCTATGCTATAGGTTGTTTGTTTTGTTTTTTAAACCCTGACTTTACATGATCTTTAGGAAACACCTGAAAAGCAATTTATAGAGCTGTGAGCACTGGAAAAATGGACAAAACAAGCATCTGTGAGCATTTGAGGCAGAGTTTGTTCCATGACTCAATACTCACTCAGGAAAAAGGAGAAAAGGAATTTGTACTATGTGCTGCAATGCAACTCAGTCAGGACCACAATCCCAGAACTATGTGGAATGTGTCCTCTAACTGCCAGCGACTGAAACCTACACTCGTTGAACAACTGCAGTACACAGTCAGTGGTCGTGTACTGTCACTCTGAATCAAAATCAAGCGCAGACCATAACACAGGTAGCGCAGAGAGAGAGAAGCGAGACCAGAGCAGTGTTGCTGTCTTAAAAGCCAGACAAAGTGTTCATTACTGGTGCAAAGGCATAAAGACAGCCTATTCTCAGATATTCGCGGACGTAGGGTATAAATACGAGAAAACTCTCTTTAAAAATGCATGCGTCAGGATTATATTTTTAAGTTTTACTCAGCATCAGACATCCAGATACACCTTGCTGCAAGTGGTCTGCAACTTGGGCTACTGTTTTTGCACACCTGAATATTTCAAATGTCTTTCTTTTGGGGGCTTTGAGCCTCACAAACAAAATCTCAGCTATCCTTCCTAAGCCCATGTGTCTCTGCGCCTTTCTCAGAGGCAGATATGTTCCAGACACTGTGCGGCACATCCAACTTGAATAATCAGCATGCGGTGACACCATAATTGACGAGTATGACAATATGTTTTTGATTATTATTGTTATTTCTTATGATTGGGAAGAACAATACTTTAAAACATTTCCTTTTCTCGCTCATCTGCTTCTCTTTATCTGCATATCCTCCAGCATGAAAGGTACAAATTATATAAAGGAAATTGATAAGTGATAACAGCTTTCCCCCTACCTTCAGCAAAATGTGCTTCAAATGTTTTGTGCAGTGGGTGTTTCTTAATGTTTGCCATGTAATATATGCAAATAAGAAAGAAAATAATAATTCCTACTACAATACTGTAAATGATCTTGCAGCTTAGTTACACTGTACAGAGAAAGTTGAATAAGATTTTAAATTCAAGCGTGACATCTGTGTTTGTAGTGAAATATAAACTTTTATGGATTGTTTCGCTCTCTCTTCAGCTCCTACCATTTACATCAAATACCTGCACACCCCTAAGCCTGGTCCTGCCACGGGTTTCTACCTGTTAAGAGGGAGTTTTTCTTCCCCACTGTCACCAAGTGTTTGTTAATAGGCAGGTGATCTGGCTGTTGGGGTTTTCTCTCTATTATTTTGGGGTCTTTATTTTGCAATATAAAGCACCTTCAAGTGACTTTTGCTGTGATTTAGCACTATATAAATAAAACTGAAATGAACTGAATTTTTATAGTGTGGACACATGAGATAGAAAAAAAAGCATATTCCCAAATTGCATCTCTAGCAAGGACAGACTACATGTTTCAGATGTTTATCACACACACACACACACACACACACACACACACACACACACACACACACAAAATCTTCAGAGGTCAGTTGTATTTAGAGTTTCTCTGTATCTACATGGGCGAGACGCCAGGGCCCCGTGTCTGCAGGGGTCCATTCTGAGGTCAATACTACAACACTGTAAACTAATGATCCAGCAAATTCCCTCAGTCCTACTCTCTCCCCTCCTCCTTCCTTTTCTCCTCAATCTGTTGTTGCCCTCTGTCTCTCCCACTCTCTGATCCCCTGCTGCGCTGCAGAAATGAGAAACAACTGAAGACTCGGCAGCGCCGGGCCTGCTCTGCTCCTCTGATACACACCACTGATAAACAAGGCTGCTTGTTAAGAGACAAATGAAACTTTTGGCTTCCTCGATTTTGTTGCCTTCCACTGCCTTTTCATCTAGCGTTTTCTTGACACGCGTTCCCTTCTTTTGTCGACATGGTCTTGGCTGTAATGCCCAGTGGAACATCAATCTTGCGTCGAAGTGTAAACACAGATAACAAAATGATCGGCAAAAGCAAAGAAGTCTGAATTAACCATGAAAAGTAAGAAGTTCCCTTTGAGCTCACCTCTAACTCGTGTACGCAATTTAAACAATCCGCTAGGTAGATGGCTCAGTTCCATTAAATAAATCGACTTTGATGTAAACGTTTAGTCACATAAAGTTAGTGTGTCTCCTCATTATAGCTTTGCGTCTTTGTTGTTTGTGCTGATGTACCTTTAGCAGCAGCTTGCAAATGTGAACTTCATCACAGGAGACTGCAGAACCACTTCAAAATCTTATGCCAAGACACACACACGAGCGCACACAGATGCATGCATGTTTTCACACACAGTATCTCCCAGGCCTGGAGGAAGCTCTCCATCGGAGCCTCTGAGTCAGTGCACGCGATAAGGCAGCGATAAGAGTCTCACTTTTCAGTTCTTTCATATTGATTTGGAATAAAGAATGGGGCTCAAGGGATGAACACTCAATCACGCTGTTGACCAATGGAGGCGAACTGGATTTAAAAGACACAATAAACGAGTTGCAGTATCTGGCAGTCAAAGTGAGACGATAGAGACAATATCTGCACTAACTTTGCCCTACTCTCACAGGTGGCAATAAGCTGTCCCTGCAGACAGGGAGAGCACAGGCTACAACTGTGATCACCCTGTCTGCAGCAAGCCTGGCCAGTGAAGCTGAATCAAGACATGCTCCTGACCCAGTGCATCAGGTGTGGGAATATCCTGTTAGTTCCCATGCATCAAAAAAAGAGGCTATCAACCACAGTTTATATTAACACAGCCTCTATTTTATGTCACTAACATGTCCACCTTCACAACTGACCTTACAAGAAAGAAAGAAAGAAAGCTAATTTCGACTGCTCTCTTATTCACATGGGGTCGCCACAGCGGGTAGCACCGCATATTTGATTTTTATGCCGGACGCCCTTCCTGAAGCAAGCCCCAAGAGATTTGTGTCTCCTCTTGGGATCGAACCAGGGATCATTTGCTGGTTAGATAAATGCGTAAAACACATGGAGCCATTGCAGCTGACCTTACTGTAGAATGTTTTAAAAAATAAAATAAAATTTTAAAAAAAGCTGTTGTTTAATCAGGAGGGTAGAAAAAAAGCCCTCCACTCCCGTGTCAGTGGACAAGACACACAGGCAGTACAGCCATGACAAGCATTTCTATTATATATTAAAAACAAAACAAAAAAAACAACAGCTGATATGTCAACACAAATTTGCTGGACACCCACAGTACGTGTCCAACTACTTTAAAATAACCGGATCGACAGTCTCCGTCTCCCCAAGCGCGACGACAGCGTGACTGTCCGTTTTCACAAGCCCCATCTGGGGCAGCTTGTAGCAGGACCGGACCCGCGGAACACGGCATCTAAAGCAAGGCAGCCTCTGTGCAAAGCAACACGCTCCAAACACAGCAGTTTTCGAGCGGTCAAATGCGCGGACTTTCCAGCTGCTGCCGCCGACACCAGACCTTGAACATCTAGTTTCTCTCTAAACTGTTCGATCCTGACCGCGTGTGTGAAAAGCATACACCAGCCAAAACCAGTAATGACTGAAGAAAAAAGAATGAACAAAATGAGAATGAAATCAAACAAACAATCAACATGCTCAAGACGCCAAAACATTTACAGAAGAAAGGAAGGTGTTTGCTGGATTCGTAATTTATTTTTATTTTTAAAGCGCATTGGAAGTAAAATTCTGGCAAGGTGAAACAAGCTGGGTAAAACTGAACCTTTCCCGCTTAACAACATTTACAACCGGCAGATAAAATGTCTGTCTTTTCTCAAAGAAAACCCAAAGCAGTCAACTTTCTGAGCCGTGCACAGCGCTGAGCTGAGAGACCCACGCCGCTGAGTGTATCGCCTTGCGCCCTCCCCTCCCGCAGCTCTGTGTGTGACTGCCCCCGGCCGCTCGTGAACTTCCCTCACAGCCGCGGTTTCCTCCCCCATAAATAAAACTTACTTTTCTCTGGCTTGGCTGTCGGACGGCACGTTGCTACTCTTGCCTTTGGCGTACATGCTTGCAGAGAGCTCCGATTGTCACGCACCTGTCAACCCATCACAACCTCCCTGGGCACAGCCCCGTCACCATGGTGACACAAGCAGCGTCGTCTCCCATTGGATGTCCTGCTGTTCAGGACCGCCCGTTCTCCATGGCTACCGCCAGTGAGTGACAGCTGTGTGTCCACGCCCCCTTTTAGAGTAACTCCACCCACCTCCTCTTTCTCTCCATATAGCTCTCTTTTTCTTTCTGTGCTCTACCGTCTATCCTTCTGTCTCCCTGCCTGTCTGAAGTCTGTCTGTCTGTCAGCATCTATCCCCTTCCCATTCCCCTGATTGGAAAGGCTCTCCTGCCATGTAGTCTCGACACACACAAACACTCACACACACACATATCCTCTTGCTTAGTGCAAACTGAGAAGAGGAGGGGGGATTTGAAACAGTCCAACTAGGATTTTTAAACAACTGGCTTTGGATGCTCCTTTTATAGACAATCACACCCTCTACCGACGCACACGCAGCTCACTGCACAAACAGCTCCAGCAAATAACTGCTTTTCCATTGGTGTTTATTTACATAGGTGTGAAGACATCCAAACATGTGGGAAGCGGAGCATGTCGGGAACAGTCGGGCTCTACAGAGAGAGAGAAAACAACACATTCTTTTAGAAGATGTGGTTGCCTTATAAGCTTTCCTGTACATACATCATACGTACTTCTGCTACAGTGCAGCTGCAACACCAAGAGGAAATGTTCGGGAAATCCGCTGAAACACTAATGTCACATCTGCTGAAAGACAGCGAGGGTGATGAGCATTAAACTTTGTAGGACCACCTGTAGGAATTCCTGCTACATAATGTATGTGAGTTTGATCAAAAGTGGAACCCCCCCCAGTCCTCACGTGGGCAACAGTAAAATGTTTGTTTGATGGTAATAGGAAACACAAGTTTGGATACATTTACTATCCAGTGTCTCAAAAGCACACTTTCATGCTTACATATCATTCTCAGTGCATTTACTTCACATCAGGTATGTCCTCTTGCTCTGTGACAGCTTGGATAAGCTATAGCGCCCTTGTAACTTTAAGATGGTTAAACAGTTAAGAAATAAGGATGGATGGATGTTCACAGAAAGCAAGCGCCTTTCTGTGGTCAAAGCCTGCAACTCTCACTTCAGGTAAGTTAGCAACTTGCTGGCTTGATTTTGCAACAACGTTCTCCTGCTGAAGCTCACACACAACACAAAGAAGCATGTAGTATATACAGTGCATGATAGTAGCTGAGTTAGAATCAGTGATAGAAACACTGTATGTATGAGTGTGGCTGGAAAATGCAGCAGGGAAGAAGTGCTATGTCATGCTGCTATGACTGGCTTGGAAGCTAACAGAGTAGAAGGTTCAGTCCACTGTCACAATATACTTATCACAAATCCACTGAGTCAAAGCACTCTGGAGAAAAAAAAGACAGGCTACATCTCGGTATAAAAGGCACTATAGAAGGCTGATTCCCAGACAGTAGTAAGCTCTGGAAAAACACAGACTGTGCATGCGTGTGTGTATGTGTGTGCGCACTGGGGGCGTAGCACAGGGGCAGCAGTGTTTATGCTTACGCAATGCTCCCGTGATGTGACCCAGTTGGAATGGATGCATGCTGCCTCACTCTCTCCGGTTCTCTCTATCTCACCCTCTTGTCCTCACGCTCTCATCTCTTAACTGAAATCTCGCTCTCTCTCTCTCTCTCTCTCTCTCTCTCTCTCTCTCTCTCTCTCTCTCTCTCTCTCTCTCTCTCTCCCTGTTTCCCCACTTCCCCCCTCCATGTGCCAAATAAACCCCGCTCCCCCTGGAGAGAGGCGGTTCTATTTCAGACAAGCAGAACTTTTGGTTTTGGGATGAGTCCCTTGGGGTCGATCACCATGACAACCACTCACAGGCGATAACCATGTGTTCCAGAGGATGGAGGAGCAGGAAGGAGTAGAGAAAGAACAAGGAAAATATAGAGGAAGCAGGAAAGAGAGAGAGAGAGAGTAAAACAGATAATGGAAAGGTTAACAAAGGTTAACCCATTTGTTGTCATGTTTCTGTGTGAGAAGCAGGTAGAGACTGACTGTATGCACTGAGCACAAAGTGCCAGTTCTCCTTTATCAGGTTTGTCTGGTACATTGTCTCTTTTCTATCTATGCCAGATTCCTGAATCTTTCAGAAAGCCCAAGGTGGGGTATGTTATCTTTCATTGTACAAGAGGCAGCAGACTGATCAGCAAGTCAGCTCAAATTCAGCTCATTCCTATAAAGATGTGATAGGATAAAAAGTAAAAGGTGGGAATTACCCCATAATATGACATTATCACAATACCATACTATTTTGATTGCATTTTGCGATACAGTGAGATTTATTGCCTTTTTCAAATGCAAACTATATCCTCAAAGTTAAACTTTTTCTGTTTTATCCAGTAAGATACACTAATTGACCATCCATCCATCCATCCATCCATTGGTTGAGGGGGCAGCAGTATGAGCAGAGAAGCCCATACTTTCCTCACCCCAGCTACCTTCTCCAGCTCATCTGGTAGAACACCACGTCATTCCTAAGCTAGCCAAGAGAGATGTATATAGAGAGTCTTCCTCAAGGCCTCCTCCTAGTAGAATTTGCCTTTGGAGGCATCCAGGAGGCATCCTAGTCAAATACCTGAACCACCTCAACTGGCCCCTTTTGATGAGGAGGAGCAGAGTGAGGAGCTCAGTCATCCCTCGGGAATGACCAAGCTCTAGTAATCCCAGGAACTATGTTGTCTGGATCAATCTGGTAGTGATTCAGAAAACCCCTATTTTGAGAAAAAAAATCATGGTTTCAGTGTACCCTGTCTGGGACAGGGTTACCTGGGTCCTACCAGGTCAGTGGCCAAACCTTAACCCACGAGACCTGGTTGGGCCGTAGGGGTTTGGTGTGATAGAGGTTCAATGCTTTGAGAATCCAGCAGCAGTTCTCGTATTTCAATTCCCAGCTTCCAAAACTGACTCACAGTTAATGCAGTTCATACAATAATTAATTGTGGAAAAATGGCTGAAAATCACATATCTGTTGTTGTCTGTAGAAAAAACATAAACTCATATTTAATAGAAATTTACATTTAACAATTACATTTGCTCACCAACCTTTCTGTTCCACTGGAATTTAACCAAAATACAACAGAATTTTTTACTTCTTCTTCTATTTCTTTTTTTTTACAATATTGAAAAAGAACTACTAATTAGTTAAAGTTTGAGCTTTTAAAATGACACTATATGTACAAAAGTCCTGGTTCACCTACACATTACACGTACAGGAGCTGTCTGGTCATGGAAACATACCACGAAGCTCCCAGCGCACAGTGTTTTTGCCGATGTTAATGCCAGAGGAAGTTTGGAGCTCTACAGTTACTGAGTGAGCAGAGCAAACTATGAGCCTCACCACTCAGTGATCCCTGCTTTGCAACTTTATTTGGTCTGACACTTTGTAACTGAGTTTTTGTAGTTTCTAGTTCATAAATACTTTGAAACAGAACTACTTACAGCTGATTGTGGAATTTCTGGATATGAAGAAATTCAATGAACTAACTTACTGCTACAGTAACATCCTACTACAGTACCATACGGCTTGAATTTAATAAGCCTTTTAGAGCAACCCAGATTTTTACAAAGATGTTTGTAAAGGCAGGCTGCATGGGTGCTGGATTTTATACACCTGTGGCACCCAGACTAAAAACATGTGAATTCAAAGATTAAAAGGTGTGACCCCCTATTTTTAACCATTTAGGGCAGGGGTGTCAAACTCAAATACACAGTGGGCCAAAATTCAAAACTGGAACAAAGTCGTGGGCTAACATTAATATTTATTGAAATATATTTATTCCTCCAGATATAAGAATGAATCTTTTCTCATGGACTCAAACACGTTTTGCTGAAAAACTCAATATGGAACAAGCAAAGCTTAATACTAAACAATATATATATTGGCTGTATAATACCAGTAGGCCAGCTCTAATAGTAATTTGGTATGGCTTCGCGGGCCAAATGTAATTAGGCTGCGGGCGGGCCAGAGTTTGACACCTATGATTTAGGGTATTTACATACAGTTAGGCAGTGAGGTCCAGTAGTTTGCAAATTGGTTGCACCTTCTTACAAAAGACCATAAGAAAAGTTGCTTGTGAAAGGACTGCTGGGATGGGAGAGAAGAAAATTTTTATTGGACAAATTAGTATTTAGTTGTTGAGACTTCTCACTGATGTTTGCTTTTTATGTGAAAACTGTGAGCTTCTTTTGGCCTTGAGCAGTTATTTTAAACAAAACCACCAGAGAAGTTTGGCGCCCACATTTTTCTAAAAGGTCATAAAGATTGTGACTCACTATAAAAAACTTCTCTCCTGTTTTTATCATGTTTTCTTCCTCTCTACTCCTCCTTAAATGATGTTTCTTATTCCACCTAATAGGCACTCTTTATTAGCTTTGCATCTTCAAGTCATTTATAAGCAAGTGAGCATATTCACTTACTAAAATAGAAAATACAGTCAAAATCACCGTAATCTACGGGGTAAATCCAAAATCCGCCCATTTCTTTTTCTCTCTCGATACTCTGAGGCACACTTTGTTTGCCTCTTGTATGTCACATAAATAGTATTAACACACAGTAGGCAACACACACACGCGCAAGTAATACATTTTCCCTTCCCCGGCTTTACACCAACTGCCTTGGTATTTTGGCAAACAGCCTTTGTTTACTGAGCCTGTCGATGGGCTATGTAATCGTATATTTCCACTGAGAGTGTCTGTTAGCAAGGACGCTAATTAGCAAACGATTAAGCTCTCACACAAAAGAGGTTCTTCAGATTAATTGCTACTGAAGTTTACAGAAGCTTGTGTCTCAGTAAATAATTTAGCATGAACAACAGTATACCTTGTCACACTGTTTTGTTTTGTTTTTTCTTTTTTGGGGGGGGGGGGTCTCAACTAAATGCTGGTGTCAGAATTAGAGATGTAACGCTGTTTCAACAGTTGTTTACTAAAGCGGACAGCGGAGGATAGACTGAGCTAAATCAAACTTCTTTCATTTGCATGCAGTCAGAAGCTCACCTGTTCACCTGCTAAAAATGCTTTCTCTTGCAAAAAGAAAAAAGAAACTAGGACACTGGGAAACATGGAAACACATAATACAAATGAGTAACATGCTAATGCACTAAATGCACACACATGTACAGATGTTTGCATGTAGATGCACATATGAATAAGGTGACATAAACGAAATAAAACCCTCAGGTCCACGGGCATCTTGAAACTGTCTCCTTTAAA